CCCTCTTCTCCGTGGGTGTGCGTGGGCTCTTTTCCTTTCCCTTCAGTTTCTACTGCCCCTCCCTTTAGCACGTCGCGTGTGGTACCTCAGCACTGCAGCTAATACCCGTTTCTTGCAGGTAACATTTCGGACAAGAATCTACCACTGTAATATTAACAGCCAAGGTGTCATCTGCCTGGACATTTTAAAAGACAACTGGAGTCCAGCATTAACCATTTCTAAAGTTCTCCTCTCCATCTGTTCCCTCCTCACAGACTGCAACCCGGGTAAGTCTCCTGCCTGGCCACACGGGCCGCCTGCTGCCTTGCACCCCACCTGGCACGCATATAACGTGGCCCTCATCTCATCTCATCTCATCCTGCTGGCTTCAGCCAGCGCGGCTCTGGCCTCCAGTGCAGCACGTTTCCCTCTCCAAGGCAGCCGGAGAGGGGCTAGAGGTGGTGGAGGTGATACACCTTACCTGCCTGCTGTTCACTGCTCCTCAGGCTGACCCGTGAGGAAAGCAGCCGGTCCTCCTCCTGCGCGTGAAAACTCCTTCCCCTTCCAAACCAGCTCTGGTTTTGGATGAGGGTTAAACACGCTTTGCTGGTCTGTAGGACTGTACTAACTCAGTAATGGAGCTAGAAGAGCCACACATGCAGTTCTGAAAACAAGGGGATTAGCCTTTTACTTTCCATCATCCATTTAAAACCAGTGACCAACTATGCCACAGGTAGTTGCCGCTTCTCTAACCCACCCATTATCCACACCAGTTAAGAGGAGTATGTCTTGGTTTCCAAAGTCAGTTTCACAGGTTGTATTCCTCTGTGTCTGAAGATGAGAGAAACACTAGATTTCACACTATATTGTACATAAGAATAAACTTGTTAGAAAAATAAAACCTTTCCTTGAGATCCGATCTTTCCTAGAAGGCAGATTTATATTGGCACAAGTACACTTAGCAATGAGTATGTTCCAGGCACTTTTAGAAGGGGTAAAATAAACCTGAAATGCATGAATTAATGAAAGTCCTGAGCAATGCAAAATATGACTATTGGATTGTTGTCTTTTAAACTCCTTAAAACTTTAATTGGCATTTCACTCTTTATTAAGTAATAGATTAGTATGTCACCATAAATACACACAAGTCAGTAAAGATACAGACCATCAATTTGTATTTAGTGTTGCAATGTACCTTACCTGTGTGATTCCATGGAATTAAATTCACACTTCAGCTTTATTTTTAAGTTTTTATTCAGTAACTTGTATGAAATAAGTGGTTTGTTTTCTTTTCTTTTCAGCTGACCCCTTGGTTGGAAGTATTGCCACTCAGTATATGACTAACAGAGCAGAGCATGACAGAATGGCCAGACAATGGACCAAAAGATACGCTACATAAATTGGATTTTCGTCAAACTCTTACATTATTCGTCTGTGATGGAAAGAGCTGCTTATGATTTTGAAGGGGTGGGAGGGAGGGTGCTGGTAAAGAATAGGGTATTTCTATAACAGATTTTATTCAGTCTTTTATTTCCTAAGATTTTGTTGTTGTAACTTAAGGTATCTTGCTACAGTAGACAGCTAGGATTGGGAATAGCATATTTTAAGACTGTAATTAGTTCAGCAATATTAGCTCACATATAGTACCGAGAAGAATGTAAACTTCTTAGACTTCTTTGGTTTTCAGTTTGCTTGCAATATGTAAAAGATGAAAACAGCTTAATTTTGTACAGGTACATATGTTGACATTTATGTAAAAGTCCTTTCAAGACTCTACACACTGTTTTTGCTATTTGTTTTGTTTTAGGTTTGGGGGGGGTTATTTTGTTCTGGGTTGGGTTTCTTTTTTTTGTAAAAAGATGTCGGGATTGTTTTCCCCTATGGAGGGCATATTGGTATTTAACAAATCCTTTTTAAAGACTGTCATCTCATGATCTGTGATATGGAGAGGTGGATATATGGCCTCATACATGAAATGAGAAGTAGTTAATGTATTATTTTATAAGCCAATCTATCTTTGTGAAAAGAATAAAGGGTTTAATCAGGACTTATGGTAACCTGTAGTGAAATACCTTAAGCTGTTTAACTGTAAGGCGTGGAATAGGAGTCACTCAGTGGATTGGTTGTATGTTGTGGGCTACTTAAGTCTGCATTTGTTACTGTGCTAATAAAAAGATGTTTAAAAAAAAAGAAGAAGAAAAGATTTCTGCTTGGTGCCTTGCTGCGTCTCCCAGAACGCTTTGAGGATTACAGTATGGGTAAGGACAAGGGAGATCTGCAGGTGAGTGCACTGACTGCAGCTATTTTGGGAAGACGCTTGTAGACGAGCATGCAACGAATGACAGCGCAAGACTTCTTCAGCTCTTTGCTGTGTAAGTGTTGCGCAGGCTGGCATGGCCCGTGAGGAGGTTACCTGCCAGAGAGTCTGCGCTAGTTACTCTTTAGCTTAAGTTTTCACAGCATTGGCTTTTCAGGAGTGGTGCATTATTTGAAAGTACAACTGGAAAAGTGTGCGAGATCTGGAAGGGAAACAGGCAGGAGGTAAAAGGAAGAAGACAATATCTTCATGGTTTTCTGACAGAGTGGTCTGTTCCCACTTGGAAGAGGAGAAGGAATCATGTCCTGGTAAGCTAGCAGAAGACACCTTAAAGGAGAGTAAAGGAGACTTAATCTGTAGATCCTTTAACCACCTACAAAGATTATCTCCTAGAGACATGATGTTTACATTGAGGTATGTAGCAACAGGGCAGTTAGTTGTGGATATGGCATTTTTGACCGCTCCCTTAAGGTAAAGGCCGGAAGTACAGATTCATTTTCACACGGCAGGTACTTCACCTTGCGACATTCTTTGGAGTGCTATCTGGTCATCTGCACTCTTGGATTTGTTTTGGTACTTTAAAATAAATTCTTTATGTATTTTATTTATATACTTCTCTTCCTAACTATATATAGATCAAATCTAACTTGGTCCAAAGTAGCTTGTTAAGTAGAGGTAACCTTCCTTTGCTGGCTGGTTGTGGGCAGTGGTAGCTTGGCCTCATCTGCTGAACTGCCTTCTTTTGACACGGCGTATGTTTTGGTGGATGAGCTCCCTCAACTGTTGGGTTCGGCCTAGGAAAATTATTGGTATATAGCTACATCACACCAGGAGCATGTCTGGTAATTGTTTCCTCCTCTCCTTTACTGAGTGAGGAGGTAAATGGCTTCATCTCAGTAGGTTTTTGTCACCTCTTTGCTTTGTGCTACCAGGACGTGCCAAATTAACTGTTGTAGCTGGCAGTGGGGAGGGAGCTGATTTGGGGTGACTGATCTGCGCAGTGGTTATTCAGCAGGATAGAAGTTTAAGAGGAACAGAGAATGATGGTTCAATTTCCTAATTTGTTTTTCTTTTTAATACTAATGGAGAAAAATTATCTTGTGAAGGGATTGTCTAGCTTTGTAGTAGGTAAGTGATCCCAGTGACCTAGGACACGTTTTGAGTCAGTGGAATAGTAAGAACAAAATACGTGTTTTGCCCTTTAGCTACTAGATTGCACTCTGTACTTTTAACCCTATGCAAAACCGTACTACAGTGAGTTTCATTTTCACTCGGTACCAGGCACTGTGTGTAGATTGTTTGCAGAGGAGACGCTAGATTTTCCATCACTTGTTAATAAAATACTGTGGTATTTAGAAAAGACAATTGATTTGAATGCTTACAAAGCATCTGAATAAGCTTATGAAAGAAAAAGGTGGGTGGTGGGTGGTTGTGTGAATGCCCAAAATGATCTAAACTTGTTTCTAATCAATTTAACTAAATCAAAGATAATGTGTTTGCCTTTATGTAACCCCTTTGGCAAAATGCCCTTAGTCATTCAAAAGATCCCTTTCCTCTTGCCTTTCTTAAAACATTCTCAAGTCCTGAGCGTCCAAGGGAGTGAGTGAGCAAGCTGATGTCGCACGACACGGCTCTGGCAGACTACAGGTGACATCAGTCTTGGTAGTGGAATTGGCACCGAGCCTGCAGGGTGCAGAACTGGACAGGAACGAGTCACCTCCCCACCTTTTAAGTTAGTTCTGACTTGTCAACCTGCACTCCCTTGGCTCAAGGATCAGCTTCAGAGATGACATGCGGTTAGCAGAGGTCTTTGCTTATTTTGATTGATCCAAAGCTGAATCAAGTCCCTTCTAGAAGGGGGGTTCTGCAGAGGAAAGGAGCTGAAGAGGAAGAACATAACTAATTCCTTGGCGAGAGGTTGCAGCAAGGAGGTGAACCGCTGCCGCTCTGAAGTCACCCCCACTTCCGACCGAAGCACGCGGGCAGACGCCGAGTCTTCTGGGTACACGTGTGTTCGGTAGGAAATGAGTGAGGAGGGAGTGTTGTTCCGCAGCATCGTTGGGGACAATGACTATTAGTAGCCAGGTTGGGGGAGGTCATGCTATAGTGCTTACTCAGCTGCTGTGTTGCAATAGAAACAATTGTATGTTTCTAGCAGGGTATTACAAGAGCTTGCTCATTCATAATTGCTCTCTTATCTTACTCCTTGGCCACAGCAATCCAAACTATATTGAGCAAAGCACATAAATAGTTTCGTCTACCTTCATTACAAAGGTAGGAATACCGGCTTAATTTTTAGTGAATTGTACTGCTGGTCTGACCTTAGTAATGCTGATGGACTTTATTTGTCTGTATTCAGGAAGAGCAATGCTATAAGCACACAGTTTAATTGTGATCATTGAGCACACAGTATTTAGCAGTTACGATATGACAGTGCAAATATTGCTTGTGGTTTTGCTGACTCACAGCAAAATTCTCAATATTTGTTCAAAACAACATAAATTTAGCGGAAAATGAGGGAACTGGGTACTTCAGTTCACTCCCTCTCCCCACTCATCTTCAAAAACAAGGAAAAACTAGTATCAATTAGTAGAAGAAGTTGTTAGAGGCAAAACTCTGGCTGCTCTTTCTGGGAATGGTTGCTGATTCCATCCCTCTATATCCAATTTTGTTTATTTTTCTGACGGGTGGACCTAGGACAGATTCCTGCAGCACGGGTTTACCAGCGTGGAGAGTCAAATACAGCACACACAGTTGCGCTCCTGCCGCTGGACGATGTGCGGCATATGAAGACCGAGGCTGATTGTACAGGTATTTCTGGGCATTTGCCATGGGGATGTTCCCAAAACAACAGCAGCCTCCTATGCTCCCTAGCCCCCTCTCACTAAGTAGTACAGCACTTTGTACCTGTTGCTATCTGCCCGTAGCTTTGTACCGAGGGTGGATTACTACAGCTTGGCTGTATGGCTGGGTAGGAGTATTACGCAGTGCGCTAAGCAGAGCCTGGGCAAGATCTCCTGAATACAAAATTGTTCCATGTAATTTCTCAGTAAAATTATCACCTATGTGAACGTGACTGATTTGTACTGGACATGCTGGAACAAAACCACGTACAACTATGTTGTCCTTCAGGTCGCAGTTAAATTAATGAGTGCTCCGAGAGCTTTTCTAGTTTGTACAAATAAATTCCTGAGCTGAAAGTACTACTTGCCAGACTTTGCTGACAAGCTTCATGTCAGGGTAGATCTGCTCTAGTATCTCCCACACGATTTGTTTGGGGTTTTCCCCTCTTCTTTTTTCCCCTCTTCTTTTTTCCCCTCTTCTTTTTTCCCCTCTTCTTTTCTTCCAGACACTAGCAAAACCCCAGCGGCCAAATCTGATGGTAATTGTTCCTCCTGCCCCAAATCCTTCCCCTGCAACAACACGCTGACCTAAGCCTCCTGCAGTACCAAAAAGCCCTGTGGCCCTGTTGAAGGTCAAGGTAAAAGGACTGTTGCCATTTCAAACATATGTTCTCTCCAAATTGAATGCTTTATTGCAGCTGGTACTATTTGTGACTAGAGGCTATAGATCTGCAAGGGGATTGCTTAATGATAAGCTTGTTGATTTGCGCCTCAACACGGCTGTATCCAGACATAGTCAAAGCCCCTGCTAGAGACATGCACCTGTCCCTCCCTCCTCCATAACCCCTGTTGCAAGGTAACTCCTTTCTTTAAGTGCTTTTTAAGGCTTTTACCACCAGTGACTTTCTCAAGCCAAGTCCATGAGAAGGAAGGATACCTCTTAGCCATAAGCTTGCTGATTTTATTGCTGAATGAGATTATTGCTTTAAGTGAAACAGTGAGAAGCAAATGGCAGAGAAAGGACTTAGGCGGTGACCTGGCAGCAGCAGACAACGTTAAGGTAGCTCAGTTATCACAGTTATTCCCTTTGCTCTTCCTTCCAGGCAAGGGAAATGTTGATTTGTTCTGGGACTGGGAGAGTTTGCTAGCTAAGAAGGTGAAGGGCTCAAGCAGTGTTTTCCGATCTGTCACCGTCACTTCCCACAGTCTCACTTTCTCAGCCCTCGCCCATTGCTGTGCTGCTTCTGTTTCCACTTGCCTTTGTTCCAGGAGGTCAGTTTTGTTTCCCAAGACAATAACTGCTACCTACAAATAAAACGGAAGGGTGAGCTTTATACAAAAAGCATCCACCGCTCACCGTGCTTTTAAACAGCAGGCAAGCAGCAACACAGTTCAGACCTGTTCTTTAACTTAGTGCTGGCACAAGGTA